TCCAACACTTATCCCGAGTGTGGTTAGGTTTGTGGAAGTAATCGCAAGTAGGGTGACTGGTCTGAGATGAAGGCATGGACGAGGATTGAGTACTTTTTGGGATCAAGGCTGACTATTTGACTGAAGTTGATAAATCTTCGGCTTACTTCCCGACAAATCTCGGTGAAAGCTGTGCGAACGGAAGAAAGAGGATCCCGACTAAGAATACAGCCCCTGACTTAGTCAAGGTCTTTGTTGAAGTCAATCAGGAATTAGAACATGCGATCCTTTTCTACAATCTTATGGAAGAGGAATAGGCCGGTCGGGGAATCCCATGTGTCATGTATTCCACCCATAGTGCAACAAAGTCATTATATTACTGATTCAAGGTCCTTGACCCCTATTTTGCCTCCCGGATTTTTGTAGATACTTCATAGAGTTGGTCGGAATTTCCTACATCTAAGTAGGTATTAAGGACAACTGTCCAGAGGGCACTAGTTGAAGAGAGGAACATATATGAACGACCAATCAAAATTTTCATGGAGTTGATCAGTCACAACATGACCATGGAGTTCTCCACTTCCCAAGCTCCATAAGTCAGGTCAGTCATTGGAGGCTCACAAATCATACCTATGAGGTAACCAAACTTCCTCGTCCTTTGATGAACAAAGGCACTACTAAGGACCATTGGTGATAGTTACTGTCAATCAGTTTATGAGTTGTGATTAGGAACTTAATGTTGGTTTCCGATCCTCCGGTCTATAAGGGAGCAAAAATTGGAGTTGATCCTCTGGTGGAATCAAGAACACCTTCTGAAAGTGCTTCGGGGTTGGAGAAATCCGTCATAATTACGACTGAGCCAAAGGAGATGTTGAGATTCTAAGCCATCAATGAAATCTGATAGGGTTATTGCAGAAGACAACAGGAAATTGTGATTGCTGCAGAAGAGGGTGCAGAACCTCAGTTGGTTGGATCCCATTGGCTGCAAGAATAGCGGGAAGTAGCCTATAGTGTTGCAGGAACCATGTTGAAGTCACTTTGTAGAGGAGACCTCTACGGGAATCTCTGGGGGGTGGGGGGCAAGCTTCAGAGGAAACCACGTTAGAGGAGGACGGCAGGAAGCATCTACAAAGGAGGCAAGCAGCGGCCTAGATCTAGGGTCGGCTCTAATACCATGTTGAGATTTGGAATAGAGCGACACATGTTATTGATAAGAGGGGTCTTTAAACCCAATTACAGTGGAATACAATAAAGAAAAAATAAACAAAATAAATAAATATAAAAGAAATAATGATAGAATAAAGAGGGAACAAAAGCTATAACAAGTAATAAATCTAATATATACCTAATAAACATTTGGATTACAGCCAAAAAATTAGCATGTAGTGCATTCATTAAGTCTTAAATTATTTAGATGATACGCCCTAAAAGCATGGGATTGCTCTCCAAAGACCAACTATTACAAAAAATGAAAGGGCTTGATAGAGAATTAAAATTAAAGTAACCATCTTTTCATGCTACTCCAAAATATAATGGTATCCTTCAACTTCTCAACTCCAATAAGAGTTTCAAGCTCCAACCACAATCAATGAGCACTAACAAAAGGTTGGCAACAAATAACAAATCCATGCTAATAGCAGATGGGGTTAATTCAAGATAGTCATATATGGATTATTAGTTAGATACTTCGGGTCCATTTGGGCAGCAACTTTTTGTAAAGACGGTTGTGAACGTATTATGGGAAAAAAGTAATTTTAAGATATTGTACATTGGCAGATTTGATTGTTCAAAACTGCTTCTGATCATGAAATTTTTTAGAAAGCGTAGTCAAACACAACTGTGACGTAGATCTAAAAAGAACCGCATTGAGATAACTATGTAAAACATGCCTTTAAACTAAACAAAATTTGAGCCTAATTTATGTAATTACAAGAGAAACTGGTGAAAACAATACAAAGATGCTATATGACGGCAGATAAAGACTAAGGTAGGTGAGAATTCTCCATTAAAGAAAACAGGGATAGGATCACACACCAAGCTTACAATGAAAAAGTAAATGAAAGATGATCATTCCTAACTCTCATCATATCATTACACCTGCAAGGAAATATGGATTACAGCAACAGTAATCCCATTATTTCCATACAACAATAAAAGTAATTCATTCTTTGCACCATATTTTCTGAGTAGCTAAGAATCAACAAAAACATCATAGAGAAGCTACTATCCAAAGGTAAAATTCATAGAGAAAATAGCCTACAATCCTTGCTCTGCAAAAACAAAGCAACAATACTTCACATGAAAATTTGATCAGCTACACCAACTTGCTTTGAACTCACCAGAACAGCATGCATAACATGCAATTACATGTCCATCACTATCGTAACAAAGCATTAAAAAATGGAAACATAATGGAAAAAAATTAAGTACCTTTAGGAATGACGTTCTCATCTGAATCCATCCTTTTAAAAAAATTGAATAGGTGCACAAGCACTATCCCCAAAATGAATATCAGCAAAAAGAACCTTCTCCAATGACATCCCACATATTCTTAGCTAGATAGAAAGACAAAGGAGTAGCTTTTAATACCAAGTTTTCATTTATAAAACAAACCGGAACTCATATAATGTGAAATGTTAAAACCATCATTTTAGAGAAGCACAAATCAAACAAAAGTCCCACAATTTCAAATAGTAAACCAACTCCATGGTGCATTCTAAGTCTGCTTCAATATTACGCCTAGAACACAAAAAGACACCCCCCGACAAACGTATGAATGCTAACTTACATTAAAAAATAAACCTTCTTTTTCTCACTTTTCTGCTGAAGAATAAAATAAGATAAAAAAATAATATGACTGAGTTCTTCTATTCAAGGCAAAAGTGATTGTTTTGAATGACAAATATTAAAGATAAAGTTAGCCTATATACAGAAATGACCGAGAATGCATGGAGAAGAGTCATCTTTGAGATTTATGCCTAACAAACTAAAACCATTATTATGTCCAGTGTTATGATGTGCTTGGAATATCAAGTCTGAAAAACATCAAAATAATTTCGAATTTATCATCATATTACATCTTATCCTCGAGTAATTTTCTCAAAAATTATTACTTAACAAAGTCAGAAGTCTTTCTATAGTAGAAGTCCCAATTGGACAAAGGAAGTCAGAAGTCTTTCTATAGTAGAAGTCCCAATTGACTCATTCCACTTCTCATGGACCAAATACAAGGTTTTTCTAACCATAAAAAACTTTGCATAGGCTTTATTAACCCTCCTTTACTTTGGGTTGCATTAGTAGGCAGACTTAGGTAAAAACATTAAAGTTGCATTCATTAAACAAGGATGCCATGGGTTTAAACCATGAAAAACTTCTTTTGCTTTGTTTTAAAAGGTTGAGTACAAACCAGAGGCTAAGGCATTCGGTGGCCTCTTTTTTATGTTGTATTACATTCCATCTTTCATATTCCTGCTTAAGGGTGGCACCTAATTGAGTTCAACCAAGTCAAGCATGGCTAGAGCTAGGGGTGTATGTGAGTTGGCTCGAGCTCGGCTCAATAAGTGGCTCGTGAACTGAACTCAATGAGCTAACAAGCAAAGCTCAAGCCCGTCCCGACTCGTCTCATTAGCTCGTGAACCGGCTAGTTTAAAAAAATACTAAAATAAAATATACTCAAAATATATTAAATTTCAAGACTTTATCTTTAAGGTATTAAAAATATTATAAAAATAAGATTTTGTATTGTGTGTTAGGTGATTTCTTATTATTTATCTTCTAATTATTCATTTTTTTTGTCATTTTATTATAAAGCTAGCTTAAATTATTATCATTTTCACTCACTATTTATATTAAACGAGTCGGCTCGAAGTCGTAGACTTAAGCTTGAACTCGATAAAATTAATCGAGCTCAAGCTCAAACCAAGGGTGGCTCGAGCTCAACTCAACTCATTTACAAACCTAGCAAGAACTAAAAATTTTCATATTATAATAAACTCTAACT